CCCCAAAACCCCAAAACCCCAAAACCCCAAAACCCCAAAACCCCAAAAAATTTAAGAATTATAATAAATCAACACAAAAATGGATTCAATAGATGATTTTGAACCGAAAGAGCTCCACTCAGGATACAAGATTTTAAAAAATAAGCAGGAAAGTAAGCTAGGTGTGACTATTTCAGCCAAACAAGCTATATTCTCAGATATGGATAAAGTTTCTATGCATACGGACCCAAATCAGAGTAAGTTATAGACCCATCGGACATCTCAGGCATTCCGATGCTATAAGATAGTGCTATACATTTCTTAAAGGAATTAGCGGAGTTGAGACTTGCTTCTCGATCTGTGCTGGGAGGTGCCAAATTGCTTAAATACTTAACTCCAAGTGGAAGTCTGATATTTTACTACCGCATGGCACATTTTTAAAATGAAATACTCTAGAAATTAACTCCTGTGTCTGACCGGTTGGGGCTGATCCTTCTGATTTTATCTAGTTAGTTAAACCTTTGTTCTATAGCTGCTTTACTAGAAATGAAAAAGCCAATCCCAACTGGTAAAATATAAACAGTGATAAAAGACAGATGTTCGAGACGTAAGTGGTTATTAATCCCATAGCCTGATTGCTCGTGATAAGGAACTCCAAAATGATATGAGCTCACTCGAGTTAAGCCCTCGAAAGGATGAGGAAGGTACACTTAACCCTGAACATATAGAGAAATCAGCCCTCTTCATGGACAAATCTAATTTTATCTCAGAAAGCTTCCTTGAAGAGCTAAATGGAAATCATTACAGTCACTCTGGGATCCCTATCAGGGAGGATTTTGACAATGACTCGATGGATGTCACTCGTATTGAGACCGAACTTCAGGGAAAAGATAAGAAGGATTTCACTGACCTCAGAATGGTACAGGACTTTCAAGCACATAATTCGCAAATCTGGGTCTGCGTCATTAGCCATAACTCCCAGTATATTGCTACTGGATGAAATGAAGGCTATCTAAAGATCTGGAAGATCCTCACCGATCTTGAAGATGCAGATGATCCTTACACATTACTCAAAACTGAGCCATATGCAGTAATGCCTCCTTCAAAAGAGATGAATTGAGCGATACTTGATTTATCCTGGTGCCCAAAAGTCCCTAATTTTATCGTCACAGCTCAATTTGATAAGAGAGCTGTCCTCTGGGATATAGATAAACCAGGAGAGCCCTTAAGAGAGTTTGAGCATACTGACGCAGTTACATGTGTAGAATTCCACCCAGATTCTGATGATTCCTCCTTAACTTTAATCACTGGCTCAATTGATAAAACATATCAAGTCTGGAGTAAAAGGGAGGAAAGGAGTGTTTGCAGCCAGCAAGCTAAGGATTACATCACTGCCTTAGCAATCTCCCCTGACGGAGTTAGAGTAGTCATTGGTGTCAACATGGGGCAGTTGATAGTCTGTGCTTATGATAATGAAAAACTTAACTACATCTCAACCATTGTTGTCAAAAACAGACATGGGAAATTCTCCAATGGTACCAAAGTGACAAAAATTCTCTTCCTAGACAACACAGATATCTTAGTAACAACTAATGACTCTCGGATGCGGATTATAAATGTTGAAGAGAAGTTCATCATTCCTGGAGTCTCCCAGATCAAATTTAAAGGTCATATCAACATGAGCTTGCCTATCAGGGCAAGCATCAGTGAAGGGCTTGAGTACATAATCTGAGGCTCTGAAGATGGGTATGTCTACATCTGGAATAAGCCAAATGGAGCTGAGGAAATAGAGAAGCACTGTAGGAACTCCTCCTACGAGAGATTCTCTCCCTTCAGTCCTGAAAATATCATCCCAACGAGTACTCTATTCTGCCCTTTTGAGATTTACAAAATCTTCATGCAGAAGTACATGATGTTTGGCATTGAGAAAGGCCTTAATGGGATCATTGTCGTGACTAACTTCGAAGGCCTTCTGAGGGTATTCCACAACACATGTAAAATAAGTTAGGAATCAAGGAACATTTCCATAAATTAGGTACTTTAGAGCATATTCAATACTAATATTCCTTCTCGGGGTTTTGGGGTTTTGGGGTTTTGGGGTTTTGGGGTTTTGGGGTTTTGGGG